CACTCATCTAACAAAGCTCACAGTCTAGGGAGAGAGATGGACACAGGCATTGATGAATGGCATATGTTCAAGAGATGGGACTAGGTGGTTCTTCTCTCAACTAAGAGGCACTTCTTTTGCTGGGAGACCTTAGATAAAGGGATGGGAGGCGATACCATCTCCCTCACACACGTATGTATGCATGCATATGTGTCTGTGTACAAGCCTGTGTCTGTATATAAGTATGTATGTGTCATATTTTTTCTTCATTTTCAGTGTAACCCAAGATAATGGTTAAAATGTATGAAATGTCACTATTCTAGTATACAGTCTGAAAAGCGTTCACTGGGGGCAGACACTGCCTCAGTCACCTCCCAGAAATACAGCAGACTGGGGGGTTCATACAGCAGATGCTTCCCATGCTTCTGAGGGATGGACTTGAAGATGATCAAGGTGCTGGAGGGGTCACCTGCTTAGTGAGGAACCTCATGCTGTAGAAGATCAATCACCTTCTTGCTGTAGCCTTAGGGGAGGGAGCGGTGGGGAGGTGAGAAAGGAGGAAAGTAGGAGGGAGGAGGAGAGAGAGAATCTCATTCTTATGACACTAACTAGTGTGGCATTGACACACCTTTTTCAGTACTTGGTATCATTATCTCCAAATCCAATCACATGAGGGTTAGAGATCCAGCCTATGGATCCACTCAGCATATGGAATGTATGGTTCATTTCAGACACCCATGTCACCATCCCCAGATGGAGGCCTCAAATGTTCCCACAGCTGCAGAAGGTGACCATACCTCCCTTGGCCATGCTCGCACCTCATAAGTTAAAAACTCTTTTGACTTCTACCAGCTTAATTTCACCTCTCTCTCTCTCTCTCTCTCTCTCTCTCTCTCTCTCTCTCTCTCTCTCTCATAAATTCAGGTGTAGGATGGATTATCTTTTGTTTCTGGTTTATTTCATTCAGTAAATTTCTCTGTGAGGTTAATCCATATTTTTGCATGTGTCTGGTTTGTCCTTTTAAATTGTTCTACAGTATTCCCTTCTAAGAATGTGTCACCCTTTCTTTCCCATCATATTAGAGGTGGGTGTTTGGTTTATGTCCAGTTTGGGGAATTTACCTGGGAGGAATTCTAGAGAGCAAATAAGATTACTTTCCCTGTAGAGTCTGAGGTAGATATTAAATTACATGCTACAGCTGCTTTTTACTGCATAGTAACAAGTAATAAATGTTCTTTTTGATGGCAAAAATATACTACAGAATTAGACAGTGTCATCAGTTACACACACAGGACGCTATTGTGTGATGCATGTTCTTATTTTCTAGATGTTTGCTTAGATCACTATTCAGTTCTGCACAAAACAAACATGGTGAGGAAAAGAGCATTGCATACCATGTGGCGAACACTGACTCCTCCAGCTGCTTGTGAGCCACTTAACCCTGCAGGGCTCAGGTCCATCCACAGGATCACAGTGTATGCTGCATGAGGTCACTGTGGGAACTTCAGGAGGAAGCACGAGGCATAATTAGCATTCGGTTCCAGACCTTTCTTGGACACTGCTTTGGAAATATTGAGACACGATTTCAGCCACTTTTGACCACGATAGTCTCTCACAATTAGTTTCATGGAAATAGCCTATAACAAACCGAGTTCCAGAAGGTCAAGGCACTGATCCAAGATCATATAATTCATCTGCTGCAGCATCTGGTGGAAGTGTTACATCTCTGAGGGGAAAGACTTCCCCAATGCAAGTGTTGCAGCTCTGAAGAGAAAGAAAGGTATCCTGGCAGTCAAGAGATAAGACATACCACCAAGTCACACCACACAACAAAGTTCCCACAAGAGACTTATTGGTAGGGAAAACCCCAGGAGGGTGGCTGCCTCTGCTTGAGTGAGAATCAGTAGAGAACTGAGTAGAAGACAGGGTTTATATGGTTTCTTGGGGAGTGAAAATTCCAGAGTGTCCTGGGATTGAAGGGATTATGCGGCCTGATTTTAGGGCAAGCTCAGGGTTTGGTGGCCTGATTTCGAAGCTCAGGGATGAGAGGGATTTCTTGCTGAGTGATTGGTGGGATTTCGTGCTAAGGATTGGTGGGATTCTGTGGCCTGATCTGGGACAGGCTCAGGGATTGACGTTTTCCCCTGCTTGGCCCTTGTCTTAGTTAGGGTTTCTCTTGCTGTAACAAAACACCATGACCAAAAAGCAAGTTGGGGAAGAATGGGTTCAATTGGCTAACACTTCAACATTGCTGTTCATCCCCGAAGGAAGTCAGGACCAGAACTCAAACAGGGCAGGAACCTGGAGGCAGGAACTGATGCAGAGGCCATGGAGAGATGCTGCTTACTGACTTGCTTCCCCAGACTTGCTCAGCCTGCTTTCTTATAGAACCAACAGCCCAGTGATGGCACCACCCACCATGGCTGGGGTCTCTCCCATGGATCACTAATTGAGAAAATGCCTTACAGCTGGATCTCATGGAAGCATTTCCTCACCTGAGGCTCCTTCCTCTCCTATGACTCTAGCTTGTGTCAAGTTGACACACGAAACCTGCCAATACAGCCTTGGTCTCTGATTTGGGGGTCAAGTCAGGGCCAGAGTGTTTTTCCTTGGCCTCAAGGTCAAGGTATTCTTTCCTTGGTCCTTTTACCCTACATTTGATCTATTCTCCTTGATAGCGGAGGCCTTACACCCCCTTTGGTGAGGTGGGGTTGGGGTTACAAGGACTAGTCTTAAACTGAGTGGGAAGAGCCAGCCAGGTTTTGACAAATATTCCAAATGAATCTTGGACCTTTTTCTATCTGCATTCATTCCTCTGTTGTGTCTTGAGCATGTGTGAGAGTCGTGAGGGTCCTGAGGCTTGGTAAGTCTGAAACAAACACAACAGACAACTAGGATTTCAGTCTGTATCACTACACCTTGAGGAGTTATGACTGTCACGGTGATGTGTGCCTTGCTGAGCATGGCATCTGGTCTAATGAGCAGTGTCTCAGATGGCTCTCTTCCCTCAGGTGCTGTCCAACTATCCCATCAACAGCATGGTGGGTGCCCCCCTCATTTACCGGATGTTGCTACAACAAGATCTTTCCAGGTGATGGACATTTGGGGGGCTGGTAGGAGCCTCTAGATTCATCCATATATCTATTTATCTGGGCACAATTAGCCTATATAAACCCAGGGCCACCATCATACCACCCAGAACTCAGTCCCAAGCCTGGGTAGACTTCAGTTCCAACAAAACTAAGGGAAAATAAACTCTCTTCTTTAGTTACAAGTTCCCACACCTGCACAGCTGCTTCACTGGAGGGGAAAGCCTTCTCCCAGAGACTCTGGAGGACTGGAAAGCCAAGACAGGACTGGACATCCGAGAGTTCTATGGCCAGACAGAAACGGTATCTACTCCCTAGGGGGCCATGGGCTGAGACTTCTGCCAGACTTCAAATTCTGTTTGATAATCTGTTTATTTTGAAGGAGTGTTATCTATCACTCTTTTAGTTGAGAAATACTTATTGAGCATCTACTACAGGAACAAAATGACAATGTTCCTGATTTCATGGGCATCACATTCTGGTGGGGAAGGAAGGCAGAAAATCAAGAAATAGATGTCATGGTAGGTAATGCAAAGAGCTATGAAACAAGGCAAAGAGAAGTCAAGAGCTAGAAACTTCATCACTTCTGTGTTGCTGTAGCATAATAACTGAGGCTGTGTGATTTATGAAGAAAAGTAGATACTTTGGCTTATAGTTCTGAAACCTGGGAAATCTAAGATTGGACATTGCATCTGCTCACACCGTTGGTATCCCCATGCTGCTTCAACACATGATGAAAAGTGGATGGGAAAACAGACGTGGGCCAAACAAACTAAAACACGGGGTAGCCTTGCTTGGTAGAAACCTACTTGCGTCTTAAGAGAGCCACTACTCAGTCCCATCAGAAGGTGTTGATTCCTCTTCTGACCTTAGAGGTTCCACCTTCAAACAGCACCACCACTGCAACAGAAACACAGCAACTGTTCCTTCAGACAGACGATCATGGAAGTTCTCGTGATGGAGTCACACATTAGCAGAAAACTGCAACTCTCCAATGTGTCAGGCTCAACACTCAGCTGCTCAGACAGAAGCTAAGGACAGGGAGAAGCCAGGAAAGTCCCCATCATCCCTGCCAGTCTTGGAGTTAACAGGCAGCATGTGTACAATATGTATCTGCACTGCTCTGTGGTGCTCATCAGAACAGCCCCGAGATCCTGTCTCCCAGCTCAATTATTGGCTCCTTTTCCGAGTGTCTCTCTCTTTCGACCCTCAGTGCTTCTCTCCTCTTCTCTCTGACCTCTCACCTATCTTCGTTCTCCCACTAATGGACCCCGGTAGTGTCCCCCACCCACCACCCACCCCCGCAGGCTGGAGGCAGTGCTGCGATGTGAAGTAGTCAAGAAGAACTTGAGAATCCACGTGAGGACTACAGGGCATGGAGCGCACACCTAGTAGGGCTTCCATTCATCCAGAGGAGAACATGTGCAGAAGAGGCTTCTCTGTCCCACAGCCTCTCCGAGGACAAGGTTTACTTCAGGATTCAAGCAAACTGTCCCTAAGATCTTGTAGGCCTCTCAGACTGCAGATGACTAACTTTGCATTTTAAAAAATTATTATCACATAAGAATTGAACTTAAAATTCCTCCTTCTTCCCTTTCTCTTCTTCCCTTCTTCTTCCTCCTCTTCCTTCTTCCCCCTTCTTCCTCTTCCTCTTCTTTTTCTTCTTCTTGTGTAGCTGAGAACCAAGCCCAGGACCTTGCATAGCTAGGCAAGTGTCCTACCACCAAGCTACACCCCACCCTACTGTGTGATGTTTCTATGTCTGTGTGCCACATATCATGATTGCTCAGGGTTTTTAGCATATCCACATACTCAAACATTTAGTCTTCCTCTGTGTTGGAAACATTGCTTCTTCTCCAACTTTGAGACGTGTGATCCCTTGCTGCTGATATTAGTCACTCCACTGTGTTAGAAAATGTGAGAACTCATTTCTCTCAGTTAGCTGGATTTGTGGAGGGTAGTTGTTCATTTCTCATCCATGGGAAGTTACCAGATTGTCTTCTGAACAAATAGTTTGGTGGAGCCACTTGGATTGGGGTTCCAAGAAGAAAGCCGGGGGATGGGTGTGAAGGAGACAGGCCTGTGAATGGCGGAGGGCAGGAGTGAGAACCGCTCACAGAACCCTTCCTTCCCCGGACTGTGCAGCTCTTCCTGAGCCTTGCTGTTCTCTCTGCTCCTCTCCACAGGGTCTCACGTGCAGAGTTTCCAGAACGATGACCGTCAAACCAGGCTCCCTGGGAACAGCTGTCCCCCATTATGATGTGCAGGTTTGCTAAGGGCAATAAGGAGGGAGGGAAAACATGAATTTGTGGCAATGCATTTATTTATTATGTTTTCATTGAGTGGAACTAATAGTAGGTATGCCAGCCCAGCTGAATGAATGCCCCAGATCCCCAGCTTCCAACTAAAAAAAAAAGCCCAGGTCTAGATGGATTCACAGGAGAATTCCACCAGCCTTTCAAACAGAAACTATAGCCAATATTTTTTAAATTTACTCTAAAAATACAAACAGAAGGAACACCTTCAAAATCCTGTGAAGCCATAATAACTTGGACACCTAAGCCAGGTAAATATACTAAAACAAGGCAAATAAAACTATAGACCAATATGCCTGGTGAGCATAGATGCAAAAATTCTCAATAAAATACTTGTAAACTGAATACAGGCACATATACGAAAGATCATCCACAATGATCAAGTTGTCTTTATTTTTAACATGCAGGCATGGTTCAACATACCTAAATCAATAAATATAATAAATCATATAAGTTGGCTTAAAGACAAAAGTCACGTGATTATCTCCATAATGCATTAAAAAACCTTTGACAAAATCCAATCCAGCTTCACAGTAAAAGTTCTGGAGAGAACAGTACTGGAGGGAACAAACCTCAATGTAATAAAAGTCATATATGAGAAACCCACAGCCAAAATAAGAAAGTTTGAAGAAATAAGATTAAATTCAGGAATGAGACCAGGCTGTTGACTCTCCCTATCCCCTTTCTATAAAGTACTGGAAGCATTAGCTGGATTAATAAGGCAAGAGAGGGAAATTAATAGGAAAAGAAGAAGTCAGATTATCCCTATTTGCACATGATATGAAATTATACATAAGAGATACCAAAAATTCCACCAGAAAACTTCTAAAAATGTTCTACACTTTCAGCAGTATCAGGATCAAAGATCAACCTACAAAAATCAGTAATTTTCCATATACCAACAACAAAATGCTGAGAAAGAGATCATGGGTACACTCTCATTCACAATACCCTCAAGGATATATCTAGGAATAAACCTAACCAAGGAGGTAAAAGTCTTCCAAGGTGAAAACTTTAATTCTCTGAAGAAAGAAATGAGGAAGACACTAGAAGTTGGAAAGATTTCCTATGTTTATGGACTGGTAGAACTAATATTGTGAAAATGACCGTTCTACTAAAAGCAATTTGCAGATTCAGTGCAATTCCAATTAAACCCCCCATGATACTCTTCACAGAAATAGAAAAAAAAATCCTAAAACTCATATAGAAGTAAAAAAGACCCCAGATAGTGAAAGCTACCCTGAGCAAAAAGAAGAGTGCTGAAGGAATTGCCATACCAAATGTCAGGTTATTCTGCAGAGCTACAGTAATAAAGAGCACAGTGTCAGCATAAAAACAGTCACGTAGATTAATGGAACAGAATAGATCCAAACATAAGTGCATGTAATTGTAGCCATTTTCTCTTTGACAAAGATGTCAAAAATAGACACTGGAGAAAAGACAGCAATCATCAACAAATGGTGCTGGGGAAACTGGGTGTCCACATTTAGAAGAATTAAATTAGACCCCAAAAATCAAGTGGTTGAAAGAACTAAATGTGAAACCCAAAATGCTGAAACTGTGAGAAGAAAACATCAGCCTATGAGCAGCCGATGCAGGAAATCACCCTCTGAACAAGACTCCACTTGCTCAGCAATTAACAACTGACAAATCTGATCTCACAAAACCAAAAAGCTTCTGCACAGCAAAGGGAACAACAACCCCATGGAGAGAGTGCTCCTAAGCAGGAGAGACTCTGCCAGCCACACATAGGACAGAGGAATAGTACTCAGAATATTCCAAGAACTCCAAAAACAAAAGGTCAAGAGAACAGATGAGCCAGTTCAAAAATGGGTTATGGAACTGAACAGAGTTCTCAAAAGAAACCATAAAAATGACTAAGAAACATTTAAAGGTATTCATCATCCTTAGCAATTAGGGAAATGCCAAGCTAAAGCTACTTTGAGATGTCACCTCACCCCAGTCAGAATGGCTAAGACCAAGAAAAGAACTAAAAACAAATGCTGTCGGGGTACGAGGAAAGAGGAGCCCTCATTCATTGTTAGTGGGGCTGCAAAATGGTGTATCCGCTCCGGAAATCAATGTGGAAAGTCACAGAAAACTGAAGGTAGACCAGCCATACATCCTAGCTACACCACTTCTTGACATACACCCGAAGGACTTGACGTTCCTACTCCAGAGACACTGTTCAGCCACGTTCATTGCTGCTCTGTTCACAACAGCCAAGAACCTAAATGTTCTTCTACTGATGAATAGATAATGAAAATGTAATATATAGACATGGTGGGATACAATTCAGCTGTAAAGAAAAATGAAATCACGACCTTTGCAAGTGAGTAGATGGAAAATATACTGAGTGAGGTAACCCAGACCCAGAAAGACAAATGCTGTGTGCTCTTTCTTATTTCAGGAGCCCAGCTCCAAATATTTAGGCTTGTATATATAACATGGAGTAACCACAGAAACCAGGAAGGCAGAAAGAGATCATGGAGAGGGTGGGGTGGAAGAAACTCTAGAGAGGGAGATAGAAAAACATGGGTGGTGAGAAGGGAAAATGAGAAAAATAGGGAGACTTTAGCTGAAGAGACTGGGGAGGAGAGTGAAAAGTAATGCAGAGGAAGGGGGTAAAAAAGACACATAACACTAGGGATGTTTGAGAAGGCCAAAGGGAAACATGTTATTTTATGTTTATTTAAAAACATATATACTGTGTGTGTAGGGTGTGTGTGTGTATGTGTGTATATGTGTGTATGTATGTCTGTGTCTATATGTGTGTGTGTATGTGTGTGTATTTACATATACAATTTAAATGAAGTTAGACCACACGAGTGCTAATGCTTCCCTCAAGAGCCAGACACTAACAAAACCCCAAACCCTAATGCCAGGCATGGGAATCCTCCCTTGGAGTTGTCGCTTAGGGGTGGTCCTCTAAGAGATTCCCAAAACAACACAGGCCATTGCCATTGCCCTTGGTTGCCCTCCAGGACCCGAAGATATGACACCACATACTTTGGGCACAAGACTTGGAGAAGTTGAGCTGGAACTGACCTGAAAACCTCCTTCCTGAGGCCCAGCTCTCACAGTATTGGAAGGTGCTATGCAAGCTGACCAGGAAGAAAAGCCATCAGTCATTCTACTCAGCTGTGAAGCCTAAGGACAAGTACTGGCCCAGCAAGATATCCCCAGAGGTGCAACAGTGGCAGTGTTATCTTAGAGATAACCAACAGATATAACCAATAGTGTAACCAATAGACTTACAGCCTGCTCAATAGGAGACAACTCATGCCTGGTACTACAAACCTAGGGCTGGAGAGGACATGGATCCTAGAGAACCCACTACTGCCATTTCCTGTAGATGTAACCAACTGTCTTATTAAATAAGAAACACAGAACCAATGTAAAGAAGAAAGCCAAGAGGTCAGAGCTAAGAGCTAAAACCTCACCCTTCCTCCTGTGGTGGTCCTACCTCTGAAAGAGAGCTATTTCCTGTGTTAAAGTCTGTTCTGCCTTCTCATTGTTTGTAAACCCAACCACATGACCACCTCGTCACTGCCTGTCTGTACAGACCTCCAGGTCTTCTATGGTTGGTATTGAGATTAAAGGTGTATGTATCCAATGCTGGCTGTATCCCTGAACACAAAGAGACTTACCTAGCTCTGCCTACCAAGTGCTGGGATTACAAGTGTATGCCACCACTGCCCGGCTTTCCTATGGCTTGCTAATAGCTCTGACCCCCGGGCAACTTTATTTATTAACATACAAATAACATTTTAATACAAATAAAATATCACCATAATTTCCCTGAACTAATATAATTTCTAACTGCATCCTGGGTACTTATCCTTAAACCCACAGATAAGCCTAACTTATCCCCCCAACCACACACACTCACTCTGCAGGAGATGGAGACCAGTACAGATCCACAAGTTATCCAAATGCAGAGAACCAACCCCAATTGCTACATCTTTAATGAAAACCCACACCTAAGGCTCAGGAAACATCTTGGAAGAAGGGTCAGGAAAACTAAAAGCCAGGGGACCAGGGTTCATGTTGTGAGATAGTTATCTTTTAAAGATGACAGCAGATACTGCACACATAAAGTCTCAATGCTACAGTTGCCAAGACAATAATGACCTTACCCAACACCAATGGGTGAGAGTTCACAAGGCTCCACACCTATGTGAGAAAGTAGAAGCCATCAGTGGCTACGGAGAGTGAGAGAGCCAGTTTTCTCCAGGGACAAGCTTCCTAATATGTTATTCAACCCCCAATAGTCAACCCCTTAGCACAAGTATATTTGAGCAACACTAAGTGGACTCAGCATGGTGTGTGTGTGTGTGTGTGTGTGTGTGTGTGTGTGTTTATTACATATGTATGTATGTAACAGTAGTTAAAGAAGAAAGTATCATGAATTTGAGAGGAGTGAAGAGGGACAGGTAAGGAGTTGGGAAGGGGGATGGAAATGATGTAAATAAAATACTAGTGTATAAAATTCTCAAAAATAACAAGTTTCAACTTAAAAATAATATTGATATATTAAAAAATGTTTTAAAAGGAGGAGGAGGGCCACTGTGATGGCTCAGTGTGTAAGAGTTTGATTCCCTGAGACTCACATGGTTGAAGGAGAGAAAAAAACTACAACCTGCACACACACACACACACACACACACACATACACACGAAGGAATGAATGGATGGATGGATGAATGAATGAATGAATGAATGAATGAATGAATGAATGAAATAGCTTTAGCTTTTGAAAAGGACGAGAAGAGAAAGGTAGTGGGAGAGGGAGGAAAGAGAGAAGTAAGGGAAGGAGAAAAGCAGGAACCACTTTGCTTATCTGGCAAATTGGCTGAATAGTTACATTGTTAAATGTGATTTCGAAAGAAAAACAGAAGTGACTTGGCCTAATGTTTTGTAACTTGGGTTTATAGTTTAGTGATCAGGCACTCTTCCTTCTAGGTCAGTAGGTACCCACTGCAGCACAGAGCCCAATGACTGATAAGACAATGCAGCTTCGCCCCTCTGTTGTTTATTGACAGGTTACACTCATTTTTATTAACATTATAGTGACTGTATTGTAACTAATGTTTTTCTCTTTTTATTGATTTGGGCTGAATCTAAGAACTCGAATTTATATTTATGTGTCTATGGTAACATGTAGATTTCTGTTTATTGGAAGTGTGACAACTTCTGTCTAATTCGGAATCATGTGTGATGATCTGTCATGTAATTCACTGTGTTAACTATACAGAAATGCTTTTCAGTGTTCTGTTTTGTTCACAAAGCATTTCTGTTTTACAGAAGCCATTGTCCAAGCATAGTGCCTCATAGTTGGAGGTCGGTAGGCAAGGTAGCAGAACAACATTTGCTTTTAGTCTCTAAGTCTACAAGTGAGGAGTTTCTCAATGGTAATGGGAGGCACATGTTTCTCCTGAACCCTTGGAGCCAGAGGCACCTGCCCAAGTTCCTCTGGCCCAGTTCACTGGGAGGTTTTACTAGCACAAATCCAGACAAGTGGACCAGGAATCCAAGCTTAAACCTCTTGGCTTCTCTTGACTTCTAGTTCATGTTGAGAGCAGAATGGCCTCCACTTGACCAAGTCTGCCATCACACCACTGTTTGTGCAGCTCCTTTTCTGTGGGTCATCCATCCATCTTCCTCTTTCTTCAGATCATAGATGAACATGGAAATGTCCTGCCCCCTGGCAAGGAAGGAGACATAGCCATCAGGGTGAAGCCCATCCGGCCTGTAGGCATCTTCTCTGGATACTTGGTGAGGACCTATGCTCTCCCTCTGTTCCCTGTCAGGATGAGATAAACCAAATAGGTTGAGGGATGCCTAATGTTATCAAGACTACCAAAAGGTATTGGCAAGATTCGCAGAGTTATCAGGGTTCAAGATCGGGCACTTTTCCACAATGATACCTAATTCTGTGTAAGCCAGAAATAATATTAAATTAGAACAAAAAGGAATGGGCACTTTATGAAGAGAGATGCCAGGCCATTTACTCTTGTCAATCTTAGCCATTTACTAAGAAATCACTAAAAACTCACCTTTCCCCACAAGCCTTTGCAACAACAAAACCTTCTATAATGTGCCAGTATTCCTATTGCCTCTGAGCATTCCCCCTGCTCTCTCCACAAAGCATGGACCCAGGCTCTATGGCATTGTGGAGCTTTAGAGCCATGCTGGATACTCCATGGAGAGTACTGACAGCATCCAGGGTTCAGACCTCTGGAAGGCACTCACAGATAATACCTGAGTAGGGCCAGCTCTCTTTCCATGTAGTGATGGTGAAGCCAGAGATTATAAACTCAGTCAAATCTACAGCTGTTGGGAAATACTAAGAGGGAACCTCAAACACACAACTTCTGGCTATGTGGTGAATGCTTGTGCCCAAGATAATATATGGGCAAGTCCAATGATAATGCTCTTCCTATCATTTATTGTAGCAGGTCTCAACCTGTGGATCATGACCCCTTTTGAGGTCAAATGACCTTTCACAGAAGTCATCTAAGACCATCAGTAACCACAGTTATTTATATTATGATTTATAACAGTAGCAAAATTACAGCTATGAAGTAGCAATGAAAATAATTTTATGGTTGGAGGTCACCACAACATGAAGAACTGTATTAGAGGGTCCCAGCATTAGAAAGGTTGAGAACCAATGGTTTATGGAGCAAGTGCTCTTAAAACTCCTGATTTACCTTAAACACATGTATTGCTCTTAGACACCATGTAAAATTTTTATAACCAGCTTGCTCAAATTCAAATGCCATTCCAGTATTTGCTGGATGATCAGGAGCAAGTTATCCATCTCCCTGTCTCACATCCTTGTTGGTGAGTTGGGTATCATGTTGTATCACATTAGCAATGTAAAGGCAATGGTACTTATGAAGCACCTAGAACTGTACCACATACAAATGTAATAAATAAAGAAACCCTGACAGGTCCAAATTACCACCTCCACAGGGGAAACTGAGGTTCTGCAACCAGGACACAGCTACATTGCACTCTTCTCCAAACACTGCCTGCACACTTTCCCCGTGGGTTCTCACATTCTAGCAAGGGACTAGAGCATGGGTGTCCCCATCTAATACATGTGAAATAGATGCAGTGGCATTGGCAGATATATTTAAGGCCATGGTGGGAATGGCAGCAGAAGCTGCATGGTGACTACAAGAAATCTGTGGTCAAGAAATGTGACTCCTTGCCTCAGTTCCACAGCCTAGAAGAGCAGATTGGCTTCAGACAAGCCCCTTGAACTTCCCTTGACATTCCCAATGATGGAGCTGGGTGAAGAATTCTAACCTCCTAACTGGACATCAACTTAAAACCCATGCTCCCATTCCAGAGTAACAGAAAAATGTCCAGAAAACGCTAGTGCTCAAGCCTACTCACTGCTAATGTTAGTGGCTCAGCTAAATAGAAGAGTCCAGCCATGGCAGAAGTGTGAACCCTGGCTGAGACTTTGGAATCCTGCTGGCCAGTCTCTAGACCTTTCAAGTATAATGAAAGAGTCGGGGGTGGGGGGTGGGGATACCAAATGTACTCAATAACCTTAGGTGGTATTGTGGAGCGAACAAACGTTAAATTGTCTGCAGAAGGAAAGATGGAATATGCAGGGGGAAACACCCTAGACTATAAATGAATCAGTGAATATGTCAATATTATCTATAAGACTAGATTCAGGGTAGTAGGTGAGAGACCTTCAGTGGAATGACTAAAATGAATGGAGACTATCCAGGTTGGCTGGGGAATCCAAGGTCGGTAGATTTGTGACAGGTCCACCATACAATGCGCAGCTGCTCAAGTGGTAAACTGAAGTAACTGTTCATAGAAGTCCTCGGAAAGGGGTCTTAGATTTTGTAGACATAGTAGCTCTCTGTTTCTGTGCTTACTAGGAAAATCCCAAGAAGACAGAGGCCAATATTCGAGGAGACTTTTGGCTTCTGGGAGACCGGGGAATCAAGGATTCAGAAGGGTATTTCCATTTCTTGGGGCGGACAGACGATATCATTAATTCCAGCGGGTGAGCACTGTTTCTGGACCAGGAAGGGTGTTGTGCGGTTTTGTTCTTCCTTGTTCTCAGTCCTAGAGGTTGGGTGCCCTGTCTTCTCTGAAGGACATACTTTTGCAGGTACCGGATTGGACCATCAGAGGTAGAGAATGCATTGATGGAGCACCCTGCCGTGGTTGAGACAGCTGTGGTCAGCAGCCCAGACTCTACCAGAGGAGAGGTGACATGTAGTTGTGAAATGCAGGGACAGTGTTGTAAGGAGGTTAAGAACACAGATGCACAGGCTAGACAGCTTGGGTTCAAATACTGCCAATCAGTTGTATGACCTCCACCATGCTGCTGAACCACTATTTTCCTCAGTTTCCACATTTGTGAGATGAGGGATTGTTACGAGCATTAAATGTGCTATATATTTGCAAAGTGCTGGGGACAAGACTTAGCACCCTAGCACCTGTAAGGAAGGATCTGTTCTTGACTAGAGTCAAAGAGGGAGGACTTGGTCTAGAAGATGCAGCCCTTGAACTACAGCATAACTAAGGAGGAGGACCCTAAAACATCAGGGTGACAGGACTGGGCAGAGCTTAGTGTGTGTGTGTGGAGAGGGCTTAAGGTGGATCAGTGCCCCAGTGCACTTCTGCATGGCACAAGCTTGATGATGTCCTATGTCTGGCAGATATGGGCCACATGACGTGTGAAATAATGAGAGCCACTGGGGGAGCAAAAGAGGACCTTCCACTGAGCTTTGAGTTGTGGATGGTTTTATTTTACTTCCCATCAATTAAATAGGAAATTTTTATCCCATCCTACAGATGGATAAACTGAAGTTTAAAGAGATTAAACAAACCATTTAGAGTTCCCATTCTTTGTTTTCCTACCCTCTCCTCTCTGCATCTACTTTCCCCTCAGCAGCCTTTACTATCATTGGGGTCTTAGGTGAACCTGGGGTCTCTTAGCCTCACTTCCCACTCAAAAGTATAAGTCACTTGAGAACAAGTTGGAATGTTGGCTGTTCTTGCCCACTTCCCATGTTTTCCTTTCCTTTGGCGCAGACATTTGGATGGATGCAGGCATTTAGTTGTGGCAGTGGTGGGCATCTTGATACTGATTTTGCTTTATCCCAAGAGATGAGTAAGTTTTCTGATCCCCCTTGGGTCTTATCCTTGCTGTAGGTGGTAAAGGCATTTGTGGTCCTTGCCCCTGAGTTCCTATCCCATGACCCAGACCAGCTCACCAAGTTGCTGCAGCAGCATGTGAGGTCAGTGACAGCACCATACAAGTACCCCAGAAAGGTAAGGCCTTTACCACCCCATGTCCTCTGTGCTTACACCTGCTGTAGTTCTCTTCTTTGGCACAAGAACGAGGCCTCTAACTTAAAAGTCCTCCCTGCAGTGACCAAAAACTCCCCCCAAACAACCCAACAACTATCTTAGTGCATGAGAAGTGGCCACAGCCTCTGACTCACTCTGAATTAAACGCCAAATGTTTTTATAGAAGGTCACTATATAGTGGGACTTTGCAAAACTATTCAGAACTGTACAGCTTTCAGTTGCAAGGACAGAAATATAACTTAATATTTGTTGCTTGTATAATTGGCAAGTCCATGAGTGGGCACAATCTTTTTCATGGTTAGTCCCAGGCATATGTATGATGTGCTCAGAGATTTCAATTTAATTTCTTCATTCTCCTTCTGTATTGGCCTCATTTATTGAAATGTTCTCTCTCTCTCTCTCTCTCTCTCTCTCTCTCTCTCTCTCTCTCTCTCTCTCTCTCTCTCCCCGGTGTCATCCTCTTCAAGTATCCAAGTATACATTCTTAGCAGGTTGGCAAACTGCAGTAGAGAAATTGCATGCATGTCCCCCACAGACCAATGAAAGTCTTGGAGTTGCTTCTTGCTGGACTAATTTAGGTACCCATCACTAAACCATTCTATGTAACCATGACAGTGGGATATCCTGATTGGTCAGTTCTGAGTCATGTGGTCATCCTTGCAGAAAGCAGAGGAAGGGTAGGAGAGGGTTCTTCTCTACACCCAAAATGTGATCTAAGTGAGGAATAGGGGGTTCTCCTAAGAAGATGGAAATGCTCCTCCCGGAAATAACAAAATGAAAGGACTTTCACTCTGGGCACTAAAACAAACACTCTGCCATGTTGGGGAGACCATAACTGCTCAGCACCTCATCCCTGTAACAACGTGCCAGAGTAACACTTAAAGGAGGAAGTAGGTAGTTTTGGTTCATGGTCTCAGAAGTTGTGGTCCCTGGTCAGGGGGCTCCATTAATTTTAGGTGTGTGGCAAGGATGAAGTGTCTGGTGAAAGGGCACAGCAGAGGGAAGCTGTTCACCTCATGGCAGTCAAGAAGCAGACCAGTAGAGGAAGGGACTAGGGACAAGATAACTAGGGAGAAGATAAATAAGGATTTATTAAGGAATCCTTAATAAAATAAATAAATTAATTGAAAGAAATAAAAAGAAAGTTAGCTTTAAAAAAACAAAAAACAAAACAGACAGAGTTTGATGTGGAAGTTTAAGTGTCTGCCTTTGGGCCATGCCATGTTCATCTTGCTGCTTCTCCTCTCTTCAAGACTACGTATAAAAACTAGTGCTCTACACCTCCCTTCTCTGTTCTAGCCGTCTTCTTCCTGCCCTGGTCTCAAGAGACCTTCCAAGGCTTCTTACGGCAAACAGAGCCAACTTAGAACATCTCCATCCTCCATCCTCATGTACCTGGGCCCTCCAGCCTTAAGAGCTAGTGCTCACAGCATCTCCTCTAAAAAACAAAATTCAGTGTACCGTAGTCACCAATGACCCACATTGATCTGATTTTTCATAACAGGTGGAGTTTGTCTTGGAGCTGCCCAAGACCATCATGGGGAAAATTGATCGGAAAAAGCTTCGAGCCAAGGAATGGAAAACATCAGGACAAGCCCAGGCCCAGTGAAATTCCCAAGGCCCTCCCTGGGCTTCTGTCTTCCCCATTCCTTTCCTGTGACTTCTCACTTTTCCTATGGAGACATAAGATTACTCACAAAGAGGCATGTATGTGAATTCTGTCTTTGCTTCATTATTAAAACAGAACAATAACATGTTGGATACTAAAAGAAGAAAGAGGGAATGAGAGATTTGCAGAAAGAAGTGAGAAAAAGTCTAATAAAATAGCAAGGAAGCGAATTACAAGTAAAAGAGGGCTGGAAGGAAGGAAGTAGAATGAAGAGGGAAGAAAAGAGAAGAGAAGGAACTGGAGAGAAATTAGGAAAAGAGAAGAATGTGGGCAGGACACTAAAGTCTTCCCCAAGTTGGTTCAATTCTTGGGGACACCGTGTCCAAAGGGGCAGCAAATACCACAGAGCATTTGTCATGCACAAGGCACTGTCCTAGGCATGTCCCAGGCCATCTTCACTCATATGTGTTGCATCTGCAGGCTCAACTTCTGTACATCAAAACATGCCACTCCCTGTGGCTCACATTCCTTCTTGCTTCTACATTTCCTAGAATCACTATTAAAATTATTTCAAAATCAAAACTGTGATTTGGGCAAGACAGAAAAGAGGGGTTTTGCAACAGTTTATGGACTAGAGAACCCACAGAGGATAAGCACCCACACTCATACACACAGACACAGACATACACAAATAAATAAAGTAAAAGTAATAAAAACTAAAAAGAATAAAGGATGGCATTAGACAATGCCTAAGTTTAGCTGCCTTGTTAGACACAAATTGCCCCACTCTTGAAAAGCTTGCACATGTATTTAGACGTTCTTCAATGCCTCTGCTCTCCCTCTTCTCTCTAAAGCCTTTTCTTGATACATCTGCTCTCTGCTAATTTTTCATATTAAATTGTGATTGATATGGCAAAGATCTTAAATGGTCACACTAAGGACTTACTTTATCTAATGAAAACTCTGGCTAGAGAAAAATCTCTGTCCAGCCAAATCTATCTCATAGTGGAGGGCACTGGGTGGTTTTTAGTTCAGTGACATTATCTGATCTAAATAATGGTTATCTGTGTCCCACACTGCTTTTCTGTTGATCCTGACTGGTCCTTCTTAACCATGGCCTACTATCATTATCCCATATTGAGAATTGTGTGTATGGATGCATGTTCATGTTTGTTTAGGGCGTGTGTGTGTGTGTGTGTGTGTGTGTGTGTGTGTGTGTGTGTATGTGTGTGTGTGTGTATGTACCTGAGTGTTCATGTATGTGAGCACCAAAGGAAAATCTTGATTGTCATTCTCAAGAACACCATCCATCTTCTTTGAGAAAGAATTTGTCACTGGCCTAGAGATCACTAGTTCAGCTAGACTAGCTGGCCAGTGAGTCCCAGAGTCTCCTGTCTCCACCTCCCTAGCACTGGGGTTACAAGCGCATGCTACTCCTTTACTTTCTGTGCCGGCTCTCCTATTAAAACTCTTGAACATGATTTTTACTGCATTCCATTACAGTGTCCAACCCATGAGCCCTGCCTATGGTGTTGTGCATAGTGGAAGCCCTTTTCTTTTAAGAGGAATCTGTGCTGTCCCTCAGTATAGACTCTGACTCCCTTCACTCCACTCCATCCTTCCTTCGTGTGGCTTACATGAAGTATTCCTAGTAGCTTGTACCTTTAACAGGGGCCAGTGTACAGTGACTGTGAAGAAGTCACCAGCTCTTGTCTTTTTCAGCACAGGATGGAACTTGGCCTCCTGATCTTCTGTTCTTTTTGTTGTTGTTTTTGTTCCCTGCTTGTGATACCCTGACAGCACCTTTTCAAAAGCAGGTGCATCAACCACCACCACCCCCAACATGCACAAGCACCAACCTATCATAATTGCACATAATAAATCAACCTCAAATAGTGCAGTTTAAAACAACGATCTCATTATGCTAATAAATTCTATGGACTAGGAATTTGAAAGAAGAATGGAAATAGTGGATTTTTTTAATGGCAATGCTCCACTACATCTAGGACCTTTGGTTGAAGGACTTGGGAGTTGAAAGAATTTGATGGATGGGATTATGTTGCACCCCCAACACCCAACACCACCACCACCACTGCTCTGGTTCATATGTTGACTATATTTGTACTGGATCTTCTTACCCTGGATAAAAGGAGGTCATGAAGGTAGATCCCTCGTGGTAGGATTAGTAGCTTTATAAGAAAAGGAGTGGGGGAAGAGATCACTCTCTCCTAATCTTGTGAGGACACAGTGAGAAAGCAGATGTCTGCATAGCACTAGAGTCTTGACAGGGAACCAAATCAGTCACCCCCTTCATCTTGAACTTTGTAGACTCCACAATTGTGAAAAATAAGTGTCCAGCATTTAAGTTGTCCAATATCGTGTCCAGTCACCTGTCATCTAGGAACTTCACTCACATGGAACCTGAGTGGGCTAGAATAACAAAGGGAGGCCTTGTATGTGGCCAGAATTTCCTCACAGTGTGGTAGCATCCCTTGTCACACCTACACAGGTAATAAAGATAAAATCATGGCAGGATTGTTGCTCAATTGATGAATTGCAAGTATGAGTGCCTGAGTTCAATTCCTGGACACCTCATAAAATAAACACTTGGCATGCTAATAATCCTAGCACTAGAAGAGACAGAGATAGGCAGATCTCTGGGCCAGCCAGCCTAACTTACTTTACAAGTCCCTGGCCACTGTGATGCCTTGTCTCCCTTTAAAATGGTGGTCAGCATCTAAGGAACAACGGTAGAAGTTCTCTTCTGGCCTCCACATGCACACCTACACAAGATTAAATCACCTTGTAAGACCTACCCTCAAAGGCCACATAAGCAGCCAGTCACTGATATTGTCCCAGATTCTAGAAGAAGACACAGAAATTCTACCTCTTCATGGGAGTCAAATAATTTAAAGGTATGTTATAAAACCATAATCCTTTCCCAGCATAGCCATGTTCTGAGTCAATAATTTCTAATTCTGTGCTTAGAGGAGCCTTACTCTGCTCATCAACAACACAGTCTCGGGGGTGCACAGCCAGCTTACATCACTGAGGTATTGACATCATCTAAGGAAGACTCGAGAGTTCAGAGAGCTGGAGGCAACAAAGAGAATGTCAAGGAGAGAGTAGAGAGATGAGAGAAAGGTTAGCTTTAATGTCTTAACTTAGTATGGTTTATTATGACCCATTTACAATCTCTTGATTATGATGTCCTTGCCTAAGTTATATAAGGAACATCTCCTGATTTAGTCAAGTGATTGCTTTATCCCAATTTTTCTCTGAGATAGTCCATCGTTCACTATACTTTTACATTTGCACTTTGATAGCAACACAGATCAAGGCTGTGATTTGCTTTTCCATTAATGATGTGTTTAGTAAAGGAAGAGTGCAGATCTGCAAACAGACAGTGAGAGCAGCAGTGTCAACAACTGCTGAGAGGTCACAGAGTCTATGGGAAAGCAGAGCCAGGAGCCTGGTCCCCACTGCCAAATGCCGGTGCCTTGGAGCGTGTTAGTTTAGCAGCCATCTATGCCTCTCTCCTGATGTTACTGCAAGAGACAATATAACCAACAGGCAGAAGATGAAACCACCTGCACAAGCACCCCTGACCTTCAGGGTGATAATATGCTCTCGTATTCCCCCCACATGCAAAGGTTGGGGCTTCCTCCTCTGGGTAGAAGAGACAATAAACTCCACTGTGGGGGAAGCATGCAGCATTCTAACAACTCCCCAAGATGCTGGACAAATTCACATCTGCAAAATCTTCCTGTTGGTATGCTCACACCCAATGGTAACTCCAAGTCCTTCATTTGATGCTTTCTTCTGACCTCATCAGGTATCAAGTGTGTATATGGTACACATACATTCATGCAGGCAAAACATTCATGCACATAAAATAGAACAAATAAATCTTTTTTAAAATTAGTAAAAAAAAAAAAAATTTATTCCCCCCCAGGAATGCTTGGTGTCAACCAGTAATGATTGGCAAGTCCCATCTTTGGCTCTTGAGGAGCTTCAAGTGTAAAGCAATTGTATATGTTTTGATGGTGTGATGTTTCCCTCCCCAAAAGTGCGATTAAAGGTGCATTTAGTTTCTTTCTGACAACAAAGATTCTGAATTAATCAACTTATAAAGAAAAAAGCTTGGCTTGGACAAATAGCACTGTGGATATCACTCTGTATAAATAAAATGCTGATTAGCCAGTAACCAGGCAGGAAGTATAGGCGGACAGGCAGAGAGGAGAATTCTGGGAAGTGGAAGGCTAAGGCAGAGAGATGTTAAGATACCAGTAAGCCACGAGCCACGTGGCAACTTATAGACTAATAGAAATGGGTTAATTCAAGATAGAAGAGCTGAATAGCAAGAAGCCTGCCACGGCCATACAGTTTGTAAACAATATAAGTCTCTGTGTTTACTTGGTTGGGTCTGAGCGGCTGTGAGACGGGCGGGTGACAGAGATTTGTCCTGACTATGGGCCAGGCAGGACTGGAGAAAACTCCAGCTACAATACAGTTCCAGAGTTTTCAGCCTGTGGTGGACTGGACTCACTGTTTCAGTCTGGGGTGAGGCAGAGCCTCTACCTCATGGCAAGCATATACTACAGAGCAAAATGTCTCACCTCACAAGCCAGAAGAAAGGGAATGAGGAAGGGTCAGAACCTCATACCCCTACTGTGAGTATGTCCCCGATGACCAAAGAAGCCCCAATACGTGGCCCCCTCTAGGTCCCACCTCCTCTCAAGAGTACATTCCTCAAGCTTTCAACATGAGGGACTCATAGGACAGCCAGTACCCATGCTCAGTATTTTGCCCATGGATTTGCTCCCAGCACATGTTGAGAGAACTAATGCATAAGATCCCCCCAGAGAAGGGGGAAATCACCTCATTAGAGACTATGTAGCCTAAGAACCGTGGCCAATTTGTATGGTGACAGAGGAGGTCATTGTATCACATGCTAAGGAATTTGGACTTGTTCTAAAGAGCAATGCCATTAAAGTAGTTAATGCAGAGCAAAAACAAAGTCAGCTGTCCCTTTTTAAATGATTACCCTGGCAGCTGAGTGGAAAATGTGCTAGAAGAAAATGTCTAAATGGAAACTGGGAAGTGCTTAGAGTAACCTCTCGTGGGATTTGGTAAATTAATGACTAAATAAGGGAGGGAGTGTTGGAGGGAGGGGACACTGAAGGATGACTTCTGGGATTTTAACCTGACAAACGAGGGTCTATGGTTTCAGTACTCACTGAGAAGGGTGGGATTAGAGGTAGGAATATTGTTTCACTCAGTGGCCATGCTCATTCAGGTTAACAGTATTAGCTGCTAAATATTAATATTATTAATATTAATATTGAATCTAGTATATTGAATATCAATATATAACACTGGGTAATTAGTCAGAAACTTAAGTTTGAGCTCAGAGAGAAATCAGGACTTTGAATGTGGTATAGGTTAACAACCCAGGAGGTTGTTGACATGGGTAAAGAGTGCATATGGAATAGAGGAGCAGCAGGAACAGAGGAGGGCAGGTTCTTGAAGAGACATAATCCTTAAGGGTTTTGAAGAGGAAGGAGATCCCATGAACACAAAGGAGAAAGAAGGCCAGTTCAGTATCAGAAAGAGGGAAGGGAACAATCCTAACACAATGGACCAGCACCGCTGAGAACAGCCACGGCATGAACTGAAGAGGGCCCATTACGTTTGGTGGCAGACCATGGGAGTGTCTCCCTCCTCCCAGCAACATTCAGTGGAGCCCATGGATCGGAACATGGAGAGCTGTTGGCTGAGCCTTGACACATGAAAGGATAGAAGTAGCTAATGCCGTCTACACTTCCAATAGATACGAATGAGAAGAAGAGTGAGAGGAGAGTTAAAGATTCAGGGCCATATACCTATGAAAGAAGGAGGGCCTTGAGCCAAGTGGCAAACTCTC